CATTTACTACAATATAAATGTGAGTACAGGATACAGGACAATACTACATAATACTTATTCTAAAATCCCTACATGTGCCTTTTATTCTAAACTTGCACTCGAATAATTTAAAACTTTATAAAGAAAGTTTGAAGAACTTTCTTTTATGTTTGGAGCTATTGATTAAAAAATGACAGAATATTACTACAGTCTACTATGGGAAAAGTTAAAAAGAATATGAGTGCAAGTTAGAATAAAAGGCACGATTTGCGTAAGTTTTTCGTCACGATATGCGACACATATGTGACACATATCATGACGAAAAACTTACGCCCGAGCCCACCCTTCCTCCCACAGCTCGGAATTAATGTAAAACTAACACACTGAACATAACTTACCAAAAAATTAAGTGCTGAAACAAACAAAAATCTATTAAAACAGAAATTTGAGAAGAGAGGACATGATAACTTACCAAGAATTAAATCCTGAAACAGACAAAAATTTATTAACATAGAAAATTAAGAGGAGAGAACAATGTAAGAACTTACCAAAAATTAAGTTCTAAAACAGACAAAATTTTGTTAACATAGAAAATTGTGGGAGAGGGAGCAAAATTTTTCTTTATTTCATACAAGAATTTGAAAAAATACAAAACGCAATGAAAATTGCGGATTTGAAAAGAGAGAACAACATAAATTACCAAAAATGAAACCTGAAACATACAAAACTTTATTAACCTATAAAATTGTACGAGAAAAAGTGAAACGTCCCTACCAAAAAATAGAAAATACAATAAAAATTACAAATTTAAAATCGATCAACAATAAAACAATTTATACAAAGTCAATTCCTGAAACAGAGAAAAATAATTAGCACATGAAATTGGGGGATATTCAGCAATAATTCCTACGCGATTCTGGCAAATTTCTCGCTTTTCAACCGTTCTAAAAAGCTTCGTTGTTGGTTTATTTCTTCGAATTTGTCATAAAGTCCTCCTTGTACCGGCTCTCGCGTACGACCGAATCAGAATATTAATGATCTGTGTATACGTATATACATATGTACCAGTAATATGTTCAATTTAATCGTTGACTAATTTCGTAATATAATTGCAAAGGGACA